TTCACTTGAACTGTTCTTCATGATTTAGAACGTTTAAGTTGCTATTCAGGGAAATACAACCTAGAAAGCAACTCTGCAATAGCTATATATAGCCAAACTGTATGATATGCAGAAGAACGATGAATGAATCATCCAACATGCTTTAAAGGGCAAAACACAGCTGCAAGCCTCCTCCTCACTGACCAGAATTGGAAGTAGTAGTTAAATGTTTCCCTTCAACATCTTCCTAGTGAGACTGTTAGGCTTAGGTTAGGGTAGGATTAACTGCTTGGAGATTGTGTAGAGACTGTATGGGAAATGTTGCATGTGGACATATGACATGGCTGTGCAAAGTGTGACCCATGAATTTCAGGCAGTCCCCTTTTCTTCCACTGTTCTCCCAATCAAAAAGTGTTTTCTCCAGCAAAAACAGTTGGATTGTGAATAATCTTTTCAATAGGTCATAGGTCTGTACCATTTAGGGGGGGGGGAAGGAATTACACATTTTTGAAACCAGAAGTTGGCTTCTGGCCACTTCCAGATTTGTTTCAGATCTTCTCTTCTTTTCCTTGGTGCCATTTTTGGTGGCACTGGGAGATTCTGGAGGCGCAGAACTGGCCCCTGGATCTACTCTACTTGTCCAATACTGACGTGAAAGCTAGGTAGCTCTAAGGTCGTCCAGGAATTATGCCCCAATTATATTGGTGTGTGTGTTACACTTGCTTAAAAGCTTTAAAAAAAGGAGACAGTAATTTATTTCTTGTATAATGTACAGCTTGGGCCTTCTTAATTCAAAACCACAACCCATGTCCAGGTTTTAAATGTCTGTTACGTAGCTATATTTGAAAGACGGAAGACAGCATGAATCTCAGTAATACTACCAAGAAGTATTTATTTAGCTTTATAGCATATTCTGGGGAAAATAACAACAGCAACCTCTAAAATAATAAGAAAAAACAAGAATTCACAAATATCTTTGAGTCTTGTTCACCTACACAAAACGTATCTTCCTCAATACTATAAAGGTTTTAGACTTTATAAGGGTCATCGCTTGGTGACACAGCCACTATCAGGCATGTTTAAGGAACTAGACTTGGTCTTTTATTAAGAGTAGGTACCCTCTTCAAGAATAAGCATCAAACTACATGTTACCTTGTATAACTTGGTGTTAAATAATTATTTTAAATATCAGCTAAGGGTATAAGGTGAGCACTCATGATAGGGACCAAAGAGGGGACTGGAGTAAATTCTTCAACCCCACATATCATAGTTCCACTAAAAACTGGTGCATGAAAAAGCTATATTCTCAGAACTGGAAGGAAACTTTTAGGCATGGGATTTGCAGATGTTTTCACTGTAACTAGCAGAATTCAGCAGCAATCCCTCCAGCTTGAAATTTAGCAGTAGCACAATTTAGCAAAAAAAAAAACACCCCAAGTTCTCTGATGAGATTCAGGATCTCTCTTGTCCCTTACCAAAGTTCTTTCTGTAGAAATGGCCACTAAGCATAGAGAAGGCTTTTGAAGCCCTATGGCATTAGGAGATTATAGTATCTGTGTTTCTTGGGCTCTGTAGAAGGGGTCTCTCAAAATGCTACTAGTCTTCTAAAGTTTTCCCCTTGCCATAGAGATTAGAAAGCTCCACCCATACCTAGAAACTTTCCCATCTGTGCAAACTGAAGCTCCAGAGGAGATTTTCATTAGCCTGCAGCATAGATGAAAAGGATTATAAAAGCCATCCCCACCTAAGGGAGATGTTGATCAGATCTCCCTTGACTGCTATTTAAAGTTTTAAAAAATGAAGTATATAATTCCAAACTACACATTTAACAAAGCAGGCAGGTCGACTGTAAGAGAGTTAATGTTAGAACAGACAGACCATTGATCTATCTCTTGTCATGACAATTCTTTATGTCAGGTTGTATAAAACAGTATCCCAGATGACGCTCTTACTTCAAAGAACCAATCCAGGGAAGTAGGATGCTCTTCCCAGAAGAGATAAATGGGTGATAGGTGACAACAGACTGAAAAACACATGTAATTTACAATGCCTCTGCTGACCTTGAAGCAGCAATCCCAGTTTATGAACAGCACCACTCAGTGGACTTATCTTTTCAATCTTTCTCAGGTTTACACCTATAAACCTCACTTCCAGAAACCAGAAACTAGGTGTGCAATTACAGTCATGAATCTCTCTCACTGTTTCCACCATGTTTCAGCAGTGTTCAGTTACTGCAAATGTGTTTAAAACTAAAAACTGACACAAATTTCTGGTCACAGTCAAGTTCTTTGACCAGTATTCTTGGACAACAACTCCCAGAAATCTTGGCAAGCACAGCTAGCGGTGAAGGCTTCTGAATGTTTTCATACAAGAACATATGGGGACCCAAGGTCTCAGACTAAGTTTAGAGTTGATTTTATTTAGGTTGGCAATGTATGCTGAAATATAGCAGAGGGAAAGGGAGTATATATCAGGTAGCAGGAAAGAGACACACAGTCCCTAACCATACTCTGCATTAATGAAAAGGATTCTGCAGTTTCTACACTGCTTCTCTTGACCTAAAGGGGGAAAAAAATCACTGCACTGTATAAAATCATGAGGATTCTCTGCAACTCACAAAAGGTTAATGGGAGAAGCAAGTTCCGATGGAGGCTGCTTCCATATAAACTACATTCCATCCCTATCCTGCATCTTAACGTCCTGGTTCAGGTCTATACCAACAAAATCAAAGCCATGAGGAAGGCAGAAAGCCGAAGAATCAGGCCATGTTCAATGTTTTTTGTTCAATTTATGATCTTATTCACAAGGTACAAAGGCAATCCATTTCATGCATTTCATTATAATGCAAAATTCATCACAGAAAACAAATTGTTTGTAAAGAACAGTATCTAAATGTTTAAATCCAAAAAAATAGCAAAAACATTGGCATTGATCTTGACTGAAACATAGCATTCATATGAAACATTTTAAATGTCTATGAAAATCTATTAATTGTCTTCAATTGACCCCTCCCAGTAAAAGGTTCACTCCTGGAAGATCAACTGAAAACTACATATTCAAAGAGCACAATTCTATAATTATATGTTTGATTGCTCAGGCAATTGATGGATTGGGGTAGGTGGGTGAGAGACCCCTCCCTTTTTTGCTTGCAAAGAAGGGAGGAACTGCCAGTTGATATCTCTGTTATATCTATATGTGGAATGCAACCACATGAGACAAATAAAACCACCTTGGCATAATGAACCAAGGATGTTAGTTCAACAACTGGGCCAGACATATCTGCCATACTTCCAAGGTTTATACCACTGAAGAATTCTAGTCAACTCAAAAGTACATCTTATTTTTAACTTTTTAGTGACCCAATAAAGGTACTTCTCAACCTCATTGCTAATTTTGTAAATGATTTCCCCCTACAGCCAAATAGAAATGCATAGTAAGCAGACTTGAACTCATTCAAGCTACTACCTACACGAAAATTCACAAATTTAAGTGACACACAAAATTACTTATGTACAGAAAAATATAAATTACCTGCTATTCAATTATCCAACTCCTAAATCATAAAAAAGACCAACCCATCCATCCCCCACCACAATTTACATTTATATACATAGGAGAGGTAATTTTGCATTAGTCAGTAACTGATTTTGTTTACAGCCTACGAAAACCACTGCATCCATACTTGCAAATGAGAGTTAAAAGCATATACTGTACATTTCAGATTATCTACCTAACAACCAAAGAAGTAGTTAATACAAAATGGATGCTATTCACTTATACTGTGACCAAGCACCAGGTTTACATGCACAGTTCTCACCCCTGGAAGGCCAATGCATATCAATCAACTCTGCAAAAGTGGGAAAAGTGACACTAAATTCTGGCCCGCTTTCCCCATCTCACAGGCAACTGATGCTACCTAAAATGTATGCAAGCAAGCACCTTTGTGGATGGCATTCTCACTAAAAACACATTTTTGTTCTCAAGGATGTTTAGACAGGAGACCTAACATTTCTTATAAGTGAATGTCATTCCCCATTTTGGAACTACAGAAGCACATAACCTTTCTTTGGAATCACTGTGCTTTAATGCAATATATTTATATATAAAAATACATATGAAAAGTTCAGCCCCTCTCTGCAAAGCATTATATAGCCTAACATACTTAATTGAAAGATATTTTTCTTAATTTCTTTTCCTGCTCTTAATAATTTCCTCTGCTATTTAAGACCTCTGAAACTACTATCTATCACTGTCACTCCACCATCCAAATATAAAAGAACAGCACCAGCAGCTTTTAAGACCCAAAAGGGTTACAGAGTTAAAAAATATTTAGGAAAATAAAACCCGAAACAGTTCGAGGAAGATTGAACATGCTCTGTGGGCACAAAATGCAGAGTGCCCATTGGAGTATTAGGGAGTAAAATAAAACAAAGGGGAGGCGAGGAAGAAAATGGAACCATCTCTCCTGAAATAAAACATAGTTGGTTTTCTGCTACCCTGAGAAGCTCATTTTTTTACACGTACTATTTTTTTACATGTGCTATATTTTTTTAAAAAAATCCAAGAAGTAATCAAAGTATTAAAAGCCCTTTAATAAAGCTGCTAATTTTGTTAGAAGTCCCAGGCTGTTAAGTATTGCTTCCCCTGCATGGAACTGTAATGAAGCTGAGGCATTTTGCTTCTTACTCCTGTATAACAAAAGGCTAAGACTGTGATGCACAATTCGAGCATGTACACAGAAGAGAAAAACATCCACACCAGTGGGGCTAAACTGGTATTACTGCAGTAGCTCCCCTTACCAAGGAGGCAAGGCTTCTTAAACTGAACAGTGGCTTCATAATGCAAGGTCAGTTGCTTGTATGGCACCTTCGCTACTCTTCCCCTTCTTCGTTCATACAGGCACATGTCAGCAGAATTATGTCTTTTAACATTTAAAACCCAACAAATGGAAAAAAAGAGACTCTCTTAACAAGGAAGTACATGTATATTACTGAATAAGGATGCGTGAATGGAATTGGTACCTATGCACAAATGGCAATGCATTCTGGGTTGGTTCAGCCCTTGGTTCTGAGTTTTGTGTCACTTCTGGAGTAGTTCTTTCATCATCAGTCCCATTAATGCTCTCAGGGGTAAGAGGAGATTGGATATCACCTGCAGATTCCTTTAAAAAAAAGAAATTTATGATCACACATTTAATTTTCGAGACAATGTATTCTCAAAATAAAGAACAAAAAAATTGATCACAGCTATCAGACCCATTACAACTACTGTACTGTATATAAAAAAGTAGTAATATATTCCAACTGGCTGTTAACATGCTTAAGTTAGAAAATCAAAAGATACTTTGAGGTCTACAGCCACTCTTCCCCATCTAGTTAGTCTATCAATGGCATAACACTTTCTCTTCTTTATATATCTTCTTTTCACACATCACTCTGTCCCAGTTTGTGGTGGTAATGCTGAAGTGTAATGAACAGTGGAGGGTTTCCTTAATGTTTATTTTTATTATTATTATCATAATTATTATTTTAAAAACTAGAACTGCTAGCTGTCCATCTGGACTATGCTTGCTCCCAGAGTCTAAAAAATTATCATACAAGGAACTGGTAAAAAAAATGTATCCTAACTGCTAAGAAGAGAACAACAAACATTCATTCATTCTCACCTGTAGCATCAGTCTTACCTTAATATGTGAACAATTATGCTACTTTTGTAAGTGTCTATCCTCAATTAATCTCCATTTTCTTTGTGGTATATTACCAAAAAATGCTCAGTGTAAAAGATTAACGAATGTACGTGTTTCATTTCTACAAGAAGTTGGACCAAAAAGCTTTCCTGGTTTTATTCCTCTACAGAGATTGTTCCTCTTTGTTTTATGCTTGAGAGCTAGGTTCCACATCTTCCATTGTAAGACCAAATTTAAAACAGTTTCAGCTTTGGCTTAAAAAAACCGTAAGCCTAGGGTGACATACTGAATTTCATTACTTTAACTGATAATGGAGTACAGTGGTGCCTCGCAAGACAAATGCCTTGCAGGACAAAAAACTCGCAAGACAAATGGTTTTGGCAATGGGGTTGATGTCTCACAAGACGAATGTTCCTATGGCTGTGCTTCGCAAGACAAATGTTTTCCAATTTTTCTGCCTCATGTTTGCTAATTTTTTAATGTTTTTCTATAATGTTAAAAAAGTTAAAGTTTTTTTACTTAAATTTCTGAAATCGTCTGCACAATATTTATGGCTTTAAAGAGCACTTAATAAACCCTTTGTAAACCAAAATTGACTTTTTTCTGACTTTTTGCCCATAGGAACGCATTAACTAGATTTCAATGCATTCCTATGGGAAAACGCATTTCGCAAGATGAATTTTTCACAAGACAACATTAACCATGGAACGAATTAAATTCATCTTCCGAGGCACCACTGTACCTTAATATTGCAGTAAAAGTGATGCCCCCTCATTCCTTGAAGGAAAGACATATAGACATCCAACATTCAATCTGTCCTAGTTAACAAGGTGTCATGGACTACATCTGTTACAAATGTCTGTTTCCTGGTTGGTTTAGGAAGTATTCTGAAGTAAACTAAAGCTTCTCTGTTTTGGAGGAAAAAAAGATGCACAGAAGCACCTTGTACAGAATAGGCTCTAGAAATTAAGGCTACATATACACTTGTATTGTGTGGAAACACCTTAGCAGCTCCAGTACACTCATGTATAATGCATGTGTGAGAGTATCAAATGTCCTTTATGTAAGGCTGCACATTTTGCAGATTAAAATGCAGTAGTTTTAACATCTGCTGCTTCTTAAGACCATATCAAGTAATATAATAGGCATTGATTTAAACCATTCTTCCTGTATGACCTGGAAGAGCAGTTTTAATGTCAGCCAAAAAAAAAAAAAGCAGTATAAGTGTACTAGAATTCAATATATATGACTGCAAGGAATCTATGTTGAGACCCATATATTTGCATAATGCATGGAGCACATTTAACTTAAGGTCTTTATATGTCAGCTTGTCACAGCATACATTTCACCAAGAGAAGGGGAAAAACCTCTGTCACACATGAATTAAAATCATATTAACTGGAAAAAATGTTACCATTCAGTTGCAGCATATTTAATATACCTTATCTACTTCTAAGGCAAGGTTTGAATCAAATGGAAGTTCTACTTTAAAAGTGCACAGATACCTGAAAATCAATGATATATTCAGTGGTTCATTAGTTTAGGGTGCTACAGGCTGAACAACAACAAAAATCCATATGAGCATTTCTGTTACCAAGTGAAAGATTTTTATGGAATGGAAATGCAGACCCAAATAAACAGGCAGGCTGAAATCCTCTTGGTGGATCTGCACAGTCATAAATGTTGATGATGTCAATAACTACAGATGTTAATATTTAATTAACCTCTTCGGGTTTTGAGGATCCCTAGGGATTCCTTTCAAACTGGGAAAGGCTTGGGGCTTTTTGGATGGTGGGCAGAAACCTTTAATACCTGAAAATCGCCACTGACAGTCTTGATCCCAGGACTGGTTTGAAAAGATCAATGCAATTTGCAGGAGGAAATAATGTGCTTCTTCCTCAGCAATTCATGCTGAAGTATAAGGGAAATCTTTCCCTCACATTGAACAAAACACTTGGAAAAGAACCCTAGGGCCATAGCTCCTGATGGAAAAAGAAATGCTTATGTAAAAATGAATAAAATTGCTGTCAACCAAAGAAAACAAATAACATAATCAGTAAGTAATATAAACTAATATTTAAAAGGAAAAAAATGTATTTTTCTCCTGTTTTTAATCTCTTTTAATTTTTTAAAATTAGTCAGTTTTTAAAACACTATTTAGGTTTAATCTCAATTTATTGTGATTTTTACATATATGCCTTTTTAGTTATTGTTCACTGTCTTGACTCTCCTCACCAGGATAAAAGTGAGATACTGTATAAATATATTGTGATTTTTACATATATGCCTTTTTAATTATTGTTCACTGTCTTGAGTCTCTTCACCGGGATAAAAGTGAGATATAAATAAAGCAAGCAAGCAAGCAAGCAAGCAACAAATAATAAATAGTGGAGGAAGTGCTATTACTTAAACATATTCTCTTCATTTAGAATAGAGGTTCCCAACAATGGGGTCACAACATATTCATGGACTACAACTCCCAGAAGTCATGGTCAGCACAGCTAATGGTGAAGACATCTGGTAGTTCTAGTCCAAGAACAAGGGGGAACCCAAGTTTGGGAACCACTGATCTAGAAAGTTTTCAAGCGGTGACTCTGTGGAAGTACAAACTCCATGTTGTGAATGTAGACCACAATAAAGAACCAGATTTCCCGACATGGTTAGCCTCAAATGATTATAAGGGTAGGAATGTCAAATATTTCTATGCATTAAAAAATCACATTCTATGAATATTCTAAGCATTTAAGACATTCAGGTTAACAAGAATTTCTCCGTAACAAGAACAATTGGAAAATTCTCACTGAAAGCCCATAGCTGTCTCTCAAAGAATCCCACAACAAAGAAAAGCAGGACTGTCTATTTTAACATAAGGGTACATAATTTCTAGAAGGCAATTTCAGAACAGATTGAATGAAGTACTCTTCTGAAGTACTTAGAAGTAAATGAGAAAACTAATTGGGGCAACCATTTTTAATACTCACTGTCCATATTTGAATAGCTCCAGAAACAATTATTCTTAATGTGGTTGTGCCAAGAAACCTCTAGGTTAATAATGGTAAGGGACTAAACAAAACTGACAGATATAAGAACATAATAGGCCATTTCAAGTGGCTATTTAAATTAACAGACCAGGTAAAATACAAAGATCAACAGCACCAAGGACCTAACAATCTTCTTCAACAATGATAGCAGGGAATGTTCTGTGGTTGAATTCAAGTACAGTACATGTATACAAACCAATATTCCATCAGTCATCAGTCCATTTTGTCTGGATTCTGACAGATAAAATGACTGAGATGTTATGCTTTCCACAAATAAGAAATAAGGTCAGGGTAAGGTGGAAATACTAAATTCCATCCATGATGAATCCATTCATATTTATAAGCAAACTACTGCACCTACTAAAAGAGGTGAGATGCAGCACATAATCAATGTGTTAATACTGGAACTTTGTTCCTTGTTTTCCTACACGTGTATAGCATTTTTCTTTTAACCGAAGCACTTCTGTATAGATTTTCCTCATTAGAATTTATTGGTTCAGTATGGTAAAATATCTATCACCCCATAGTGAAGGGGGGAAAGTTTTCTCCTTGTTGCTTGTAAATTTTGGATTTGCCTTCTTCCATGCTTCAAGTTTAGCCTCCTGTGGATCAGCTAGGACAACTCTTCATGTCTAAATGTCTCAAACACTGGTCTCTTAATATGATATCTGTTAACAGATTTCAAAAGTGGTCTCCCACCCAGAATCTCTAAGGGTGGGCATGGGGAAGAACCTGCAAAAGAGTTCCACTGAAAGACAACTGGAAATACCATGAGTAGCTGTGCTTTGTGACAAACACTAGAGCAGTGGTTCCCAACCTTTTTCAAGCTGCAACCTCCCTTTTATAATAGCCAAGTAATCTGCAATACCGCCCCACCATGTTTGCATAAAAGGGCATTTTTAATGGGGTAAAGTCATCCGTTGTCAAAAAGTAGAGGCTTCCTTCTCTCCGAAATGACCTTTTCCTCATAGATACACATATATGTGATCTTTAATATCTGGCTCCAAAAGGACAAGGAAGAAATTATTTGACAAGGGCTGTGGCACAGAGACACACACACACACCCCGCAAGAAAACAGTTGATGGCCACCAGGTTAGGAAACACTGAGCTAGAGCAAATAAGTCAGGGAAACTCCAAAACAGATGCAAGAATACTCAGAATTCCAGACATTTCACAAATTACATGAGGCAATTAAAATGCTTGGGGCTAATTTATTTATTTATTTATTTATTTATTTACACCCTGCCTTTCTCTTTAAGAGGACCCAGGGTGGCTTAAAATATTAAAATAAGAATCGACCAAACTAGATATATAAGATATGTAAGTTAAACACAGCAATTGACAGCAGTGCAAGACAGAAAGGGAGTACATTTAGAAACACCTAGGGAATTGTGCTGTCTTGTGACAGGAAGGAACATTTATCTATCTTTCCATTTCCATCTTCAGTTTATGGACTTGTAAAATTTAATGGCTTCCTTCCATAATCATTGTTGGTCTATGGCTGACTACTACTCAGGCTAGATACACACTTCAACATCAGACTCACAGAACCGAGTATTTGCGAATGTATAATGGAAAGAGTGAAGCAGTCATGCAGGCACCGGACTTCAGAATTCCCATACAGATGAATGGACCAAACTCATTTTTTAAAAAAACCCAGTTCATAGCAACCAGAATGCAATCTGAACAGGATTGAGAAGAAACGCACCTGTGAGGGTGTACTTGTTAACTCCATCTTTTCCTGGGATTTTTCCTTAGCTAGTCGTGCAGCTTCCTTAAATTCCTGAAATTTTTCTGCAAACTGAAGGCAAAAACCATATAATTATACACTATACAAAACAGAATTTGTCTAAACAAAACGTCCTCCATATGATACCTTGGCTAGAGAAAAACACTTTAATCTTCGGTAGAACTTTATAGAAAACATAAGGAATTGTCTGGGATCAGTCTGGAAAGACCATACTATGGCATTAGTGGTACCAAAAGTTTTTTGTTTGTTTGTTTAATCTGTCTTCCATTGTCTACAGCATGCAATGTGGCAAAGCTTTTCTTGAGTTGCAGTTATTCTTGAAGTGTGTGCACAGCAACATTTGACACAAAAAGAGGGGGGAGACCTATTTGCATGGTTCTGTGTTTGGTATAACAGTTATACTGAGTCAGTGCCCAAGATCTCAGAGAAGCAATCTTTTCTGGCCTTTCTGGGATTGAGTGAAAAGCTCCCTGGCTCTGCTAGACAAAAGCTTCTTCTGAAAGAGGAAGAATGAAGGGTATGCAGGGTTTGAATAAGACCTATCTGAATCTAACTACTATACATATTAAGTTTAGGGTATATTCTGCAAGCGTACTAAATCTGACATTTGCTTCTCTATTGCTCCTGTTTATGTCTTGGCTTGCAGTTATTGATTCCCAAACATTTGTCACAAATGGGGTTGTGAAGCAGAACAGCAGTGGGTTCCTAAGGTTTGGTAGAGAAAGCTGAAGGAGAAAGCAGAATTCTCCCTTTTCTCTTTGGTTCTTTCTTTTATATACACTTTTGGCTTAGTTGCCTCTATTCCTTAGTTCTCCTGTAATTTGCCAGAGACAAATTTCCCATTTCACTTCCCAGTCCAACTCCTGGCTTATACCTACTTTTCCATTTAATCATACTTCCAATACCTGTGTGGCTCTACAGAACAATCTATTATGATGATTCAGATCACATGTCCAAATACTAATATACCTTCAAAAGTCAAATTTCATACCCAGATGCAGATGTACCCACTCATATATCTTTCTCTGTCCTCTAACAATGTACAAGCAACAAAAAGCAAAAGCAAAACGTGCTGCTTATATACCGCCCCATAGTGCTTCAAGCACTCTCTGGGCAGTTTACAAGTTAATTATGCAGGCTACACACAAGCAACTACTTACTAGGCTACATCTCCACTATTCAGAGATGCGCCCATGTGTAATTTTGTGCTCAACATAATCTGCTATTTTTCCTTTGGGTTGCATTTAGTTGCAAACCTAGCTTTATATAAACATGAGCATTATTTCCAATCAATTGTCTTTTAAGGATCTTGTGCCCAAATCTAATTCCTAGTGCTGCTTTATGAAGAATAAAAACTTGCCTGCCTCAGCAATGGCTATAAAGGCATGTAGTCTTCCACATTCAGGATAGCCAGATTCTCACCTCTGCTACTGTGGCCAGTGTAGGATTCAGTTTTCTTTTACATCAGGAAGTGAGAGTATATAATGTGGGGTCCTAGCACATATGCACTGGATTGGGCCGGTATATATTTTACTAGTGGGTCTTCTATTTAGGATCCAATTTTGGAAGATGCTAAGTAGCCCAATGAGCAAGATTATACAATTTGCTGCAGGGAGGTAACAGCTGTGTCCAGGTTAACAATGAAATGATTCCTGCATCTTCATTTGGCATTCGGTTTCGTTTTTGTTTTGCCAGGCTATGACTGATGATTTGATAAAAGTGGGTCAAGTGAAGGAGAATCCAGACAAGAATCAAGCAATTATAGTCCTCAGGTTCACCGACATGGTGAAAGAGGAAGTCATTGGCCTAGGAAGCCCAACATGCAAAAAAACCCCTTCTCTATCTTTTTCTGTCATGTTAACAAGAATGAAAATGAGACACCTTCAGGTCAAAACAACTACAGCATATAGTGAAGTACAGTATAGCCAATGTTTGTCCTTTAATTCTAGAACATCTTCCACCGCAAGGACTCACAGTCCAAACATGAACAAGTTAGTGATGGGGAAATGAACATGTGGTTCTCCAGATATCCTCAGACAACAATTCTCATCATTCACCATCATTGGCTTTGCTAGCTAGGGCTATTGAGAATTGCAGACCATCATCCTCTGAAGTGTACTGCTCTAGTGTACTTCAGCAACTGTAAATTGTGACTGGATTTGAGAATTGCAGACCATCATCCTCTGAAGATTTACACATTGCTCTAGTGTACTTTAGCAACTGTAAATTGTGACTGGAGTTTGGATCAGCTAGGTTCATCTGGTACCTTGCTGGTAGTTTAAGCAGTTTAAATTAATAATTAAACTAACTTTACAACCAAACTTTGACTTAAATTGTGTTCACATTTAAAAGAGAATGCTATTTAAAATGTGAAAAAGAATGGAATGCAGAGTTAAATCTTTGTGTGTAGCCGTCCTTCTCAGACTGACGTTACTCTGCTTTTAGGCTTATGAACTGGAGAGAAAGAGTAGCAGCTACAAAGTCCATTTGGAGCTTTTTGCCCTCGATAAATTACTTCCTCAGGTACACACACCACTATATTCCATGGCCATGTTAATCAAAAGCAGTCAAATAGTTCCATAGCTGTACTTACTTTTGAGAGGTGATGTTCAGAAGAAAATCCTAAACCATAAACAGTATTTGCTCTGCTGTCTGCCCATTGACCAAACTTCTGCGATGTTTTTGTGAATGTCATGTTGGGAGTGATGGTACTATTTATTATTGCCTGCACAAAAAGAAATTGTGGAATTAATTAAATAAAAAAGCACAATCATAAAGCTACTCTTGACTTTTATATTAAGTGTTTGGCTATTAAGGAGCAGGTGTACAATTTTTTGGAAATGCAAAGTTTATTTCACTAAAAAGCATAACCCGAGCACTCATGCACACATTAGTAACCATGTCAAAATGTGTAACTTGTTCATTAAAATGGAATAGGACCCAGTAATTTATAAAAACTGTAAGTAGCAGGAAGTTGTATCACAGACTGCTCTCAGTTAAATGTTGATGTTACATCAGCATACGTGTTCCTTAAATATTATTATTGTGTGACTAGTAAAAAGCAAAAATTGCCAATCCCACTTTGTCATTGCATGGAGAGAAAGTGGGCCTACATCTCATTTCCAGGCGAAATTCTAGAACAGATCGTAAAATAGTCAATGTGCAAGCACTTAGAAAACAATGCAGTCATAACTAGAAGTCAACACAGATTTGTCAAGAACAAATCCTGCCAAACTAATATGATCTCGTTTTTTGATCAGGTCACCTCCCTGATAGAGGGACTGCTGTTGATGTACAGTGGTGCCTCAACTTACAAACGTCCATACTTACGAACATTTTGACTTATGAACAGCTCTGATCGCAACATTTTGCTTCGACTTGCGAAGGGAGCTTCCACTTACGAACAGAAAAAAGGCAGGGAAAAAAGGCGAGCAATTTGGATTTCTAACTACAGTGGTGCCCCGCATAGCGAGATTAATCCGTTGCGGATTAATCGTCGCTATCCGGAAACATCGTAAAACGAAATGGAAAATCCCACAGGAACGCATTAAACTCCATTTAATGCGTTCCTATTGGGGGAAAACTCACTGTTGAGCGAAGATTCCCCATCTGGCCACCATTTTCGTGCCCTCGGTAAGCGAGGGCAGGGAGCGAAAACGCTGCGGGCAGCCATTTTAGGCACCCGGCGGCCATTCTGGAACCACCGATCAGCTGTTTAAAAAAACATCGCAATGCGAAGATCGGTAAGCGAAACGCTTACCGATCATCACAATGCGATGTTTTGGCACTTAAAACATCGCAATGCGATCGCATTAGCGATCCCAAAAAATGGATCGCTATGCGGATTCATCGTTAAATTGTGTGCTCGTTATGCGAGGCACCACTGTATAGGTTGTGACAAGGCTGCTTTGAACTGTAGCTCTTTCACTTTCCGCAGTTAGAGTGTGTTGTGGTCGTCGGAGGCTTGAGAGAGCCTCCTTCTGCTTCGGAGTGAGTGCGTATGTGTGTGTGTGCAGGGAGGTAAGCTGCTGTTTTCTCCTTTTAAAAAACTGTTCTGGGTGGGTTTTGCCTGGGGGCGGGTATGTTTCTGTGCTGTGTTGTTGGTGGCTTTGATGTTTATTTTTGGAGGATTTTTTTCTTCTTATACCTCAGCAATGGAGGTGGCTTTAGTATTTGTTTTTGGAGTTTTTTCTTCTTCTTAAATCTCACCAACGGAGCGCCTTCCGACCAGGCTTGCTGTGTTCTTTCAAAATTTTTGGTGATTTTTTTCCGGCTGGAACGGATTAATCAGTTTTCAATGCATTCCTATGGGAAATAGTGCTTTGACTTACGAACATTTCGACTTATGAACACTATGAGGAAAGGCTGAAAGAATTGGGCATGTTTAGCCTCGAGAAAAGAAGACGGGTGATATGATAGCATTTTTCAAAAATCTGAAAGGCTGTCATACAGAGGAGGGGCAAGTTCTGTTCTCAATCATCCCAGAGTACAGGACATGCAACAATGGGCTCAAGTTAAAGGAAGCCAGATGAATATCAGAAAAAAATCTTAATTCTTAGAGCAGTATGACAGTGGAACCAATTACCTCATGAATTGGTGAGTGCTCCAACACTGGATGCATTCAAGAAAAACTCACACAATCACCATGCTTTGATTGTATTCCTGCACTGAATAGGCAGTTGGACTTAACAGCCTTGTAGGCCCTTTCCAACTTCACTTTTCTATGATTCTATGAAAGTACTGAGGTCTGGGTGATGAGGATGAGAGGCCATGAATGAACAGCAAACTTTTCTGTTGCAGACAATCCCCCACATGCAAACAAAAATGTGCAACACTGAATATAAAGTTCATTAGACATGGTATTCCTCTCTTTTCTTTCTATATAATTAATTATAACTGTGTGGTGAACAACTCAGTAGAGCTACCCATAGTTTCTAGGAGAAGTGATGAATCTTGGAGATTTCGGATTACTATAATACCTTTGAAAATTGTTTAAGAACTTCATCCACACTTGTATTGGCACCTGGAATCAGATATTCAGACTTATCTTGTCAGTCTTGAAACAGCTCCTCTGTTTTAATTCAGTTCATGGCACAATTCAAGTCCTAAACAACTTAGCACTGGCATGCCTCAAGGACTTTTCACTTCCACAAGAATCAAACCAGATATTTAGATCCCTTTTAGGGACATTTTGCAGGTCCCTCTGTCATCTGTGGCTGAGGTGAATGATAACCTAATTTGGTTTTTCCAGGGGTGACAAGAATGCCCCCCAAAAGGTTCACTGCCACCAACCTTTCAGAGACTGAAGCCTTTTTTAGGCCTTTTTATTGCAATGTGGTTTGACTGTTTTGTTAGTGACTTTAGCTATGTGTGGTTATAAAGTTCTTTTAATTTTCTGCTGTTACATCTTATCCATGATGCTTTAAATATTAGCTGCTCTTCAGGGATGAAGAATAAGATACAATAAAATAAATATAAGACTGTTTTCCGTCCATGGCTTACTGCTTGAACACAGAAAAATATCTAAAAATGAAGTATAATTTCCTGCTAGGATGATATTTCTTCTCTATTAGAGCAACTAAATATTACTTGTTGGCTTAATTTAGGTACTGCAATAATATAAATTTTCTCCTTTGTTTGCTGGTCTGCATCTGTGTTCTCAATAATCTGCTGCCAATTTGTCAGAAAATACTTAATTAGAGCACCTGACAGAAGTACTATGTGAGCCTATTATTTCATTACTTATTCATGCAATGCCAAAATGGCAAGTACCAAAAGGAATTCCTCTAATGTAGCCAGCGATGTTGAAGTAAATTGGGAAAAACAGATTCCCACTTGGACAGTCACTAACGTCAGCCTCCCTGGTAAGGAGAGCCTAGTAAGTACAGGAAGCTGGATCACTCCACAGCAACAAAGGAGGGTCTTCTATAAACTTAATGGTGCTTAATTGATGATTTAAGCTTACACCATCCTCAAATACTTGAAAACAATCCAACTGTTTGTACTCCTGTGAGGATTCCAGTAAGATGCTGAAGGAACACGAAGTACTGGGAGATGCCACCGTCTCGGCTAATTAGAAAACTGGGTGGGTGTGGCCTTGACTGCCTCATACCACTGATTTGTAACACTATAATTAAACTTTAAAAGGCTTGCCATACTCTTGACCATAATCAATATTAAGTTACCTGAAACTTCTGAAGGATTTTCCTTGGGGAAAAAAAACTCACCAAAATTCTTCCTCTCAAGAGAAAATGAAACTCAGTGGAAACAAATTTGGTTTATAACTGCCTGATTCTATACACACCTACTCAGAAATCAATTTAATTAATTTCAATTTCACAGCAAAAAGGGATTGGCAGCAACCTAAACCTGTTCCCCTTAACAGATCGACCAAATAATCAGAGCTCCCTCCCGTAGATTTCAATTTTTTATGGAAGATGCAACAGCAAAGTAACATGTGCAACAGTGGAGAAAGGTAGGAACTGTTTTTAGAGAGACCAGTATCATCCACCTTTGTGCAGCATCCCTATGAAGGGCTTTCACATTTGCTGCATCAGTGGGAAGAAATGCTAGTTACAAAGCAGGTGACAAGCTATACTTCATGTGAAGATTCTGAAGCTAATAATTGCTTTTCGTTTTAAAGTGTTGAAAGGAAAGTTCCACCTGTTATTAAAGCTAGGGCACCATGGTGCACTTGGAGGCTAACTTTGTGCTCCAAATATCTACCATGAGCTGGAAAGGATCCTGAAATGATAGAAAAATCCAATCCACATCAAACCAAATTTTAAAAAAATAAATAAATCTAAAGTAATTGAAGTCCACCTCCAGTTTTAATTTTGTGTGTTTTGGTGCAGCGGTGGTTGTTAAGAGTTCAGGGCAAAAACTTCCACTTACACAGGTCTCTAGAAAGCCCCTTCTCAACATTAAAAAATATATCAGGGCCCAGCACAAACATCCTTAGAGCCATATGCAGGCCAAAGATTGTACTTTGCCTGAGTTAAATCCACAGGACATGGGGAAATAGGATTTTCAGCATATTGCCATTTAGTGGGAAAATACAGCAGACCAAGACTGAGTAATTCCCTTACATTAGGTCATCAGACTTGGAATATTTCTGCAGTTGCATTAAAGTGAAAAAGTATTCTGCAATCCTGTGTCACATACCTTGTACAGTGTACTTTATAAGACAAACTTTTATAAGCGTAGTCCAATGAAACTTTGCTTTTAAACTGCCTGAGCAAGCAATAGTACATTTTTTTCAAAATTCTTCCTATAGCTATGCTCAAAAAACAAGTACAGTACAATGATTCATGTTGAGCCTATTCCAGAATTCTCACCAAACAAAGCCTATTTAATTAGTAGGCCTATTTCATAAACAACATTCTGTGCTTTATCCAGGTATTTGTAAAAATGCAGTTTGTATATTCTGTAATGCTTTACTTGTGTGAACTGTAGCCAGAGACAGGAGAAGGCTATTTTTAAACCAATAATTACCTCTGAATTTAGATCAGGGAAGTCTTACACTTATAGACAGATCAGTTCCTGCATCCAAAGGTCATCTTCCCAGGGATCAGAAACTGAGACTGTCTACTGAAGCCTGAGATCTGCTATTCAGCAAAATTGGAGAAAGAAATAGTTGTTCAAAGCTAGGTAGGTACTAATGGTAGTTCTAAAGCTGCAGCTTGTTGTGAGGAATAAGTTTTCAAAGAGGACAAGAAGCACTGCAGCCTTTGAAATTCAAATTCAAATATCTAGGTCAGATGGATAGTTGTAGTGGCTACCTACTGCCCCCTGATGAAGAGTTGCTATCATTTAACTGTCAAAAAAAGGAAGCAAGGATTCTAGCTTTCTACATTTAAGTCATCCAGTTGGTGGTGCTAGATAATAGTGTAAACTATAAACCAATTCTTGCATGAAACTGTGCCTGTTTTTTTTCTGATGTTTGCAAGAACATGAATGAATTCGGATGATAGGACTAATATCCTTAAAAGACTTTTTTTGTGCCATACCAAAGCACTTTATTGAAGAAAGTGTTTGATCTTTTAGTGTTTGAATTAAATCATACATTATCAGCATCTTCTCTGCATAACACTCTCGATTAGCCCTTTCATGAATTAAGAGTCTGATATACTGCAAAAATACAAATTACCCATAATAATAACAAACTGATTGGTTTTCAAAGCACCAGAACAAGATACTATTACAAGGCATCTCAACCTCAAAGATGATTCTCTACTGCAGGCCAATTAATTAAATGGGTATTTTTTTAAAAAAAAACACCAAAGATTTATATTCATCATAGTGCACACATTGCAGGTGCTTTAACTTCCCCCTCAAATGTCTGTTCTGGTATTGGGGATACCACATTCCACAATTTCAGTCCCACTACTGTTGCTAATGCTTCTCATGTTTTTTCTTCCACAGTCAAAAAAGTAGACTAAGTTGTGAGGAAATTGTGAAGACTTCTGTTTTAGCTTATACGTATTACATAAAATATTATGATGCTTTACTATTCGTCATTGAGTTTCTCCTCCCTAGTCAGAAATTATTTATTTTGGAAAATGTTTTAAAAGAGGAACAAACTTACTTGCATACGTCTTAAATACTGTACAATTTATTTATTTGAAACATAAGCCGAGTTTTTAAAAGATGCTTTGGAGGGAAAGAAGATGTGCTAGGAAAAGAAGAAATCAAGTAATGAATCTTTTCCCCACAAACATACAGTACCTGCAAACCTCCTCCTTTTTCCTCCAATCTCAAAACACCAGTTTGTTCTAGGCCAAACTGATAACATGCCTATACAACAATATCTGAAGCAGTCAAGCTCTTAATTTCTAGATAGTAGTTTAAATGTGAAGACTTCAAATGTACTTATAGTTACCATATGACACATGAATGGACTGTCACATGGACAGTTCAATAAACATGTTTTAGAATATTCCTCCATTGTTTAGTCTTACAGAAAATGTTATTGTTCGGTAAAGAGTAATGGAAAATTACATTTGATTTACACCATGGAGTCTGATGTCAGTGACCCCAGTCAAATCTAATTCAAATTAATTGAAAGCTTCCTATCCCCACCTTTCATTTCAGATTCTCTGTAGACTCCTTTTTGGGGAAGCCTTCTGGAGCCTCAGAGTGGGGGTGGGTGGAGCACCACCAGATCACTTCAACCAAGACTGGGACCACCAGTGATGAGGTGATGGCAATTTCTGGCTATTAAAAGCTTTGATTAAATATCTGTTACATATAAGAAATTTCAAGAACTGTTGTCTTACTCTATTTCAATCAAATATCTTGATTTCTGCTAAAAGAGAATTGTATGGAAAAAAAGCATTTATACTTAAAAGTCAATGCATTTCTAGAAGTTTACCTGAGATCAGCCAGTCAAAGAGCTTACCTTTGAGCCATCCAAGCTGATTATCCTATAGACATTTCTTGTGCTGTCATAGAAGTACGACACAGTAACAGCATGCTTGCTGGTGGGAACCCAGTTCTTCTTCGTATTAGGGTCAATCTGGAAGACATGAGCTCGGGTGCTGTAGATGGGTTGTTCCCTGAAGGGCAGAAAGTAAAAGTGATGAATCTGATTTGGACGCAATATGGTTGTACACAAGTCATTTTGACAGTCCATCCATTGGCCCCTCTGGATTTCACTCTGCATGAATAATGTACTTGCCCCCCACGGACTTGTGTATATGAAGTGGGATATAGCTGTAGAGCACATGGAAAATACTCACGGGAAAGGGAAGCACAAGTCTTTTAAAATAAACTCCCTGACCAGCTGTACAGTCAGATAAAAGAGACATATCTAAATATAGAAACTCTACTGATCCACCACCTTTCCCCCCTCCATCTTCCATCTGTTAACCTCTTTAACAGTAGCTGTCAATAAAAGAAGCCTAATGTTCTTCTGTTCAGAGATATTTAGCTACACTGCTTTCACCACTTTTAAAGCCTCTCAAACACACCAGATGATCCATATAAATCATAGCTCACATGTGCAGAAATTGATCCCTCATATATTTTACTGTTAAATATCTGAGATGGCAACAGAAGACTATAGATGGTGATTTTTCCCTTTATGTAGACAAGTTCAGTCTTTATTGTATGGTCACAGACCCAACAATTTTATATAGTCATATTTCACATTGCAGTCTTACAGAGCATATGTACCTACATCTGTCTAGAAATATAAAAATGAGTAATGTGAACACGAATGTTTTGACTACTGTCCTGTTAAAATTATCATATGCAAAAAGGAAATAACGGAAGTGTCTGCAGTTATATGGTTCAGTCCAGTCTCATGCCTGGTTGAGTAAATGGACCAAACCACATGGTCAAAGCCAGTTCTCTGATTAACCCTGCATGTGCAATAAATGTTGGGTAAAATAAGGTACTAACAGTTAAAAGTCTGATAACACTGTTACTATTGCAAATAATGTAGCATCAGTTTTTAGCCTCCATGTCCTCCTTCTTGATACAGCTTTCACACTGAATTGAACACCCACTTGTACTCTTGATTGTCAAAGTTTTCTTTAAAAAAGATTCCAATCAGCTAGAACTAGTTATTTCCAACAACCACTGCTAGCACTTTTATTAATACTCCTTCTATATATCTAGAAGGCATTTGCTCTGTTTTCATAGCCTAGCACACTGCAGTAGAAATCAGAGATGTGGAGTCACCAGGCTAGTCCTACTGTCTGAAGCGATGATATGAGCCACTGAAAAATAAATTGTCTCACAGTTTTTAGAAAACCAGCCATTCACTCAAACACAACACTTGTCCATGAAAATCTCTGAGACAGTATGGGTGATAATCTGATTTGCAGAATAGTCAGGCAATGAGATTAAGTATCCAGTGAAGGGCTGTGTGTGTGTGAACCAATCTCTCAGCTCAAATTGCTGCTCAGCCGCAAAGTCTGCAGGGAGACCTAATATAAGTTGCAGACTGATCACAGAGTTATTCACAGCCATTACAATATTACTGGTCATCTTTTTAACCTCTTCTCTCCTTTAGAAGGTGGAAAGACAAAGAGTCACATGACTGGTAATACTAGATACCAGCGTTCTTTATTCTGGTATTCAAATGAGAACATACCTAATCACTAGGGGATTTATTGTTCCTATCCATCTGTGTATGTAGGAGAGAAATCAGCTGGTTACATCTGTGAGTTTTTGCATTAACCTGGGGAAAAAAAGTGTTTCACTCCAACTGCTGCATTGTCTGGAAGTTGATTTCAGTGATTAGTGACATATTTTTTTTAGCAGCTCAGCAATTTCACATATTAACAAATTTTGAGAAGTCCCAGATAAATTCCGCTTGATCCCAGTAATATCATTTTTTTTACTTTCTCAGTTCTAATATTTTGTAGCCTCTTATGTCAACTGTTGCATCAGAATCATGCTTTCAAGTTAGTGCAGATTAAACAAAGCTAAGAGATGTGTTTTCTTTGACAGAAGCCTTCAGCAACATTGAAATCATGTCATCCAAGTATAAGTAATACTGTTTAGAGACACATTCTGCACCTTTACCCAACCCTCTCCTTCAAGTACTGAAAATATTCTACCCCCTCATCAATAGAATATAAAATATAGTCAGCATAAAAACAAAAGCCCAGATCCTATTCAACCTGTGCTTAATGTAAATATCCTTAACCAAAATTGTGCTGGGTTATACCATTGTCCAAATGAACGTATACCAGGAATCCCAAATCAGTAATCTGTGGCACAATGCCTTAGACATCCGTCAGGGGATGCATGTATGCAATCACAATGGTTCACACTAATGTGAGCAGCCAGGTTTATTTCTGGGACTGGGAGGTTTGATTATTTCTCCCCAATCCTAGCTTGTCTGCACTGGCTTTCTGTTAGATTCTGTGTCAAATTTAAGGTGTTAAGTTTGACTTACAAAACGCTGAATGGTTTGGGACCTTGTTATTTGTTGGAGCGCCTCTCTCCAAAAATATCTACCCTGTTAACCTGATCCTCTCAGACCTCATTATTGATGGTACTGATCCTGAGGGAAGTAAGGAAAACGTACACTAGGAATTGGACATTTTCAGTAGCGAGACCTTCCTTGTGGAACAAGCTCCCTATAGGAACCAGACAATCCTTCCCACTACAAACGTTTAAAAGACTACTGAAAATGGAACTCTTTTGGGACGCCTTTGAAAACATTTTATATTATTTTTTTCATGACCCATATTTCATATTTTGTTTTTGTTATTCTATTGGATTCTGTTATATTTCTAACATATTTTGTTTTATTTTTTATGGTTCACTGAAATTTCATGGACCATACCTTTTCTGTTAATAGTTGGATTTATTAAGGATAATAAATAACATTTTACTTTGGATTATTTTTAGTTTGGTTTGTATAGTTTGTTTCATATTATGTAAATTGCCCCAAATAGCAATTTCACTAAACCAGACAGCATATAAATTTAAAAAATTAATACATGGATGGATGGATGGATGGATGGATGGATGGATNNNTAGATAGATAGAATAAAGGATGAAAGGATTGATGGATGGATGGATGGATGGATGGATGGATGGATGGATGGATGGATGGATGGATGGATGCCTACCAACCAACCAACTGGATTTAGGACACTGCCTTTCCATGCTTGCCAAAAAAGTGAATTCGTTTGTGTAACTGAGTTGTGCATGTTTAATGTCTTATAATCCTGGTGAAAAACACTAATTAATATATGCAGACAGAAAGGCCCAAAAGTCCTTGGGAAAAGAGGGCTCGAAGATGTATAAGACAGAGCAGGCCTCTTCTGGGAGAGAATTCCACAGGCTGTATGCAGGACTCTAGTATGAATCACATGAATTCTGTGTTGCTACAAAAACAGGTTTAGATACACAGTTGCTGAACTCCAGTAGTAAGCTGCAACTAGAGTAGGCCCACTGATTCATTGGGTCTAATGCAGGGGTCTCAAACATGCGGCCCGGGGGCCATTTATGGCCCGCCGAAAGATAGTTTGCGGCCCCCGCCTTGCCTCCCCCCATAGCGCCCACGCATCCCCTGCTGTCAAGAGTCAAAGAAAGCCTCACCTCACTCGCCGGTTCTCTCCCAAGACAGCGCCTCTGGCACCCTCCAACCAGAACTGCAGCCTGCCAGCCAGCCCGGATGGAGGATGCAAGAGGCGCTGTCTTAGGGGAGAGCCGGTGAGCGAGGCACACTGCCAGCCCTTTTCCCTGTGCACCTGAGCCGCTGCCAAGTGATGCCTGAGAGCGGAGCTCACTCCCAGCCTGTCCTCAAAGAGCGCCTCCAACAGTACCGCCAACAACAGTCGCCGCCGCCACCACCTCTTCCAGGGAAGCGGCTCTCTGGCTCTCTTTCTCTCTCGGCACCCCCAGCACCAGCTTGGCCAGTGGCCGCCTCAGCACCCAGTGGTGCTTCCTCCTCCTCCTCCTCCTCCTCAGAGCCTCACCCGGGCTAAGGAAACTCCTGGGTGGCTTCCTTGGGCTCTTGCTCCACTTGGCAGAAAATCTGATGCAGCCCAGCCTCACCCAGACTCTGCCTCCAGCGGCCCCCAGGTAAACTGAGTTTGAGACCCCTGGTCTAATATGACTCATTAACGGATTTTCAGCCATTATCTGTATAGTGTATACAGTGTGCTACATTCCCACTGCATCCACTTAACCAACTCAGTTGTACTTTTTAAATCTAGCCTCAGATAAGAGAATGCAATTGAACTGACAGGAGTCCAGTCCCTGAGAAGCTTCACTGCCTATCAGCAAAGCATCCCATGATCCACTGTTAGAAGAATGGTTTCTTCCTTTTAGCTAAAATCCAATTTATTCTCCAACACAACATACTCTTTGAGTAGAGGAATGTCAAAGGTTACAATCCATTAACTGGCAACAAGTAGTATAACACAACAAAGAGCCTTTGACGAAGCAAGCGGTTATTCTAGTTCTGTAGTTTCTATTGTTGGAATACTACAGTTGTGTGGTTACACTTAAAAGGAAATTTTAGAAAGAAAATCCACCATCAGACCCCTACCAGCAACAACAGGGATCTACTATCACCATCTATATGCCTCTTTTATTCTACCACCAGGAAAGGTGGGTGGCTATGTTCATTTTTCTGATTTCTACTTGCACTTCAAGAGCCATTCAGCTGCCTAGGAAAAAGAAAAAGCTGCATCATTCTTGGACATAATTTGAAAGCACGAGTTAGCGGTACTTTTATTAGACCACAAAAATCTCACAACAGAACCTAGATTTCCAGTCCTATCATCAGGATGGCTTTTACTGAGCTGGGGAGGTACAGAAGAAATACAGAAGTTTCAAAAATCATGGCTAAATGTATGGGCCAGGCTATCTACAGTCATGCTAAGAGAAGTGTCAAATACTCCGCTCTATTTAACATTAATAAAGCTGAAGTACCATATTTTCCGCACCATAAGACGCACTTTCCCCCCACAAAACAGGAGGGTGGAAAGTCTGTGTGTCTTATGGAGCGAAAAATACGGTAATATGTCCATTCTGGGTTAAGTTCTCTTTGAGATGAATGGTTGATATACTGGCGACATTATCT